TTTCACTATTTCTTTGGAGTGAGGTTAATAAGTTTTCTAAACCATTTTGTGATGTTGATAGTAATACTGTATCATCAGCATAACGAATTTCTGGTATTTCATGACCACCGATGTTTAGGGCATCATATTGTTCCTTGTTTATATCATCTCTTACAATTCTCATTATATAACATTCGTCTAGGAAATCTAATTTATGTTGCTTACAAATTCTACCTAATTTGTTTACTGACATTACAAGAATAGATGTCATAAAACATAACAGTTTCTGTGTAACATTTAGTGTAGGCGTAAAAAAATATTTTTATCTATAACCAACATCTTTATTTCCGGGAGTGTTTGTACAAGCATAGCTGGCGCTATGTTTTATCTAAAGGTCAATAATGGTATTTTACACCAATGTTCTTCGACGTATGGGACCGCGGCCCATTGATTGACCATGAAAAACTCTACGCTGGCCGCCACTAATGTTTGATGATGTAACGAGGTCGGGTAGGTTGTGGTTCTTTCCCAGGATTGCGGTCGGTAGGATAAACACCTCACAGAAGAGAATCAGACAGGCACAAGTGATAATCAACTTAACGTGTCAGCGTTTAAAGGCTTTACTTGAAAACTTTGCTGATGAATTTCCTGAAAATGGAAATCTTTGGAAAGACAGCCTTTTGATTAATAATCTGTTCTTGGAAGATACAAAATCATACGCATCTGATCATCTTGAAAAAGAAAAACTGATCGAATTGTCTTTCGTTATTAGTCTTGCATCAAGATATAACATGCAATTATTGTCTGAGTTTTAGATACCACTGGAAATAGAGTATCCTTATCTGAGTTATCAATCTTTTGGACTTGGGGAAGGGGTACGGGGGGGGGGGGGGGGGGGGGGTGTTATCTCATACTTTTTTAATCTATAATAATTGATTTTCATTATTCTCATCACCAGCATCATCATCATCATCAACATCATCATCATCTTCACCTTGTCGATTCACTTATACGCCAGACACGGCTAGTAGTCGATTATTGCATTCTTCTCTTTTTTGAAAAAGACAATGGTGGTTTAAACATACATTTAATCGTCACAATTTTCGCTGCAGTTTTTGCTTTTTAAAAGATCACGAATCAGGTAGCAGAAGATAAAATGAAAAAAAAATGTGTGTGTGAAATGATATAAGGATGGGAAATAAAAAGCGTGGACACAAAAAACACCTGCGAAAGAATGTTAAAGACTTGCAGGGAAGTCTACCGTTGCAGGTGCGCTCCGTAAATTGGACGACAAACGGTAAAATGTGAGTCTCGTTGAAACTACAGACTGTGAATATACCACACTTGCTATAAACTGCGAAAATACAACACTTGTTATTAATTAGGAATATTTCGCACTTGGTATCAATTAGGAATATAAGCACTTGTTTTAAATTGGGAATATAAGTACTTGTTATTAATTGGGAATATGTCAAACTTGTTATAAATTGGGAATATCTCGCACTTGTTATAAAGTGGGAATATATCGCACTTGTTATAAATTTGGAATATTTCGCACTTGTTATAAATTAGGAATATATCACACTTTTTCTAATACACTGTTCTTCGGTACTGTGATGTAAAGACTTGCACTAAAGAACATCATGATGACTGGGAAGTTTTATGGAATAAGGGGGAGAGGTCGTATGAGGAGCTCAAGAGTTATGAGCCTTTGAGGTTCCGGTACTCGTGCTGCGGGCTCAGTCACCCCTCCCAGTTTGAAAATTAGTAAGAGAGCCAAATCGTCACCTAGAAATGTACAGGCACCATCTTTCTGAGTATCTGCTTACACTTTTCCTGTTGTTTCAAATAGATTATGTGTATCTGCCAGTCAGCACATAATAATAATTATTATTGCTCACTGACACAAGACTTTAACCCACTTAGGCTCCAGTGCCCCTTGAAAAGTATGAGGAAAGGTAACCCTCCACCCCTCAAGACATAACAATTTGAAAAGCGTAAGACGAAAAAATTAAATAAACAAAGTAAGTAAAAAGTAAAGATCCTTTTATTACACCTTTAGGTGCATCGGGCATAAGAGAAGAACACCCACATTTTTACAGACCACTCAGCACTCGGTGGATAAATATGGTAAGCATTGTGCCGGACGTCATTACTTCCTGCGACGTCCCATACCGTGATAAAACTCCACGCAGCCAGCAGTGGGTTTTGATCAATAAACAAAGAGCAATAAGTAAATGAGGAGCGATAAGCCATAGACAGGCAGGTGGACATATAGTCAGTCAGGCAGGCAGGTGGACATATAGACAGTCAGGCAGGTGGACATATAGACAGGCAGGTGGACATATAGTCAGTCAGGCAGGCAGGTGGACATATAGACAGTCAGGCAGGTGGACATATAGACAGGCAGGTGGACATATAGACAGTCAGGCAAGTGGACATAGACAGGCAGGTGGACATATAGACAGTCAGGCAGGTGGACATATAATTAGTCAGGCAGGTGGACATATAGTCAGTCAGGCAGGTGGACATATAATTAGTCAGGCAGGTGGACATATTGACAGTCAGGCAGGTGGACATATAGTCAGTCAGGCAGGTGGACATATAGACAGTCAGGCAGGTGGACATATAGACAGTCAGACAGGTGGACATATAGTCAGTCAGGCAGGTGGACATATAGACAGTCAGGCAGGTGGACATATAATTAGTCAGGCAGGTGGACATATAGACAGTCAGGCAGGTAGACATATAGACAGTCAGGCAGGTGGACATATAGACAGTCAAGCAGGAGGACATATAGACAGTCAGGCAGGTGGACATATAGAGAATCAGGAAGATAGGCAGGCAGGTGGAAATATAGAAAGTCAGGCAGGTGGATATATATAGACAGTCAGGCAAATGGACATATAGACAGTCAGGCAGGTGGACATATAGTCAGTCAGGCAGACAGGCAGGCAGGTGGACATATAGACAGTCAGGCAGACAGGCAGGTGGACCTATAGACTTTCAGACAGGCAGGTGGACCTATAGACTTTCAGTCAGACAGGCAGGTAGACATATAGACAGACAGACAGGGAGACAGGTGGACATATAGACAGACAGACAGGCAGGCAGGCAGTTGGACATATAGACAGCCAGGCAGACAGGCAGGTGGACATATAGACTGTCAGGCAGACAGGTAGGTGGACATATAGACAGTCAGGCAGACAGGCAGGCAGGTGGAAATATAGACAGTCAGGCAGGTGGACATATAGACAGTCAGGCAGGTGGACATATAGACAGTCAGGCAGGTGGACATATAGACAGTCAGGCAGGTGGACATATAGACAGTCAGGCAGGTGGACATATAGACAGTCAGGCAGGTGGACATATAGACAGTCAGGCAGGTGGACATATAGTCAGTCAGGCAGGTGGACATATAGACAGTAAGGCAGGTGGACATATAGACAGTCAGGCTGGTGGACATATAGACAGTCAGGCTGGTGGACATATAGTCAGTCAGGCAGGTGGACATATAGTCAGTCAGGCTGGTGGACATATAGACAGTCAGGCTGGTGGACATATAGACAGTCAGGCTGGTGGACATATAGACAGTCAGGCAGGTGGACATATAGACAGTCAGGCTGGTGGACGTATAGACAGTCAGGCTGGTGGACATATAGTCAGTCAGGCAGGTGGACATATAGACAGTCAGGCAGGTGGACATATAGTCAGTCAGGCAGGTGGACATATAAACAGTCAGGCAGGTGGACATATAGACAGTCAGGCTGGTGGACATATAGACAGTCAGGCAGATGGACATATAGACAGTCAGGCAAATGGACGTATAGACAGTCAGGCAGGTGGACATATAGTCAGTCAGGCAGACAGGCACGCAGGTGGACATATAGACAGTCAGGCAGACAGGCAGGTGGACCTATAGACTGTCAGTCAGACAGGCAGGTAGACATATAGACAGACAGACAGGGAGGCAGGTGGACATATAGACATACAGACAGGCAGACGGGCAGTTGGACATATAGACAGTCAGGCAGACAGGCAGGTGGACATATAGTCATTCAGGCAGACAGGTAGGTGGACATATAGATAGTCAGGCAGACAGGCAGGCAGGTGGACATATAGACAGTCAGACAGACAGGCAGCTGGACATATAGACAGTCAACAGACAGGCAGGTGGACATATAGACAGTCAGGCAGACATGCAGGCAGGTGGACATATAAACAATCAGGCAGACTGGCAGGTGGACATATAGACAGTCAGGCAGACAGGCAGGTGGACATATAGATAGTCAGACAGACAGGCAGGTGGACATATCGACATCACACAGAGAGGCAGCTGGACATATAGACAGTCAGACAGACAGGCAGGTATGCATATAGACAGACAGACAGGTAGACATATAGACAGTCAGACAGACAGGAAGGCAGGTGGACATATAGACAGTCAGACAGACAGTCAGGCAGGTGAACATACGGACAGACAGGCAGACAGACAGGCAGGTGGACATATAGACAGTCAGGCAGACAGGCAGGTGGACATATAGACAGTCAGGCAGACAGTGAGGTGGACATATAGACAGTCAGGCAGGCAGGCAGGCACCTAGACAATAAAAGTGGAGGTTTGTTTTCCACGCCTCAAGCGTATTGGGCAAATAGGGCTAGAACTATATTTCATGTACCAATCGGCACCTGGTGGGTAATGTGGTCAACATCAAGCCGGCCGCCTTTACTTCCCGAACCCATAACCTTCCAATCTGCAGGCGAGCATCTAGCCGCTACATTACGGCAGCTACCAAGTAACAAGACGAAAGACTGCTGTGCAGACAAACAGACAGGTAGGCGGACAGACAGAAAGTAAAACACAAAATATACTGACAGACTAACACATAGAAAGAAGAAGAGTTTATGATACACAGCCATGTCCCACTGCTTCATCAAAAAGCGTCCATCAACACTTAGCAAACACAAAGAACTAAATTATTTATCATAAATTAATGCTAAACTGTCTCTTTTGTCCCCAGCTGTGGTGAATTCCTCCGGCAAAGTTTGGAAAGAACACAGAACATTTTTATTGGAGCATATGCGCGATTTAGGAATAGGAAAGACCAAATTTGAAGACAACGTCATCGAAGAAATTCAACATTTTATTAAAGTGCTCGAATCCACAAATGGGGCGGATTTTGACCCCAAGTACTGCTTGCAAACAGCAACATCGAATATTATTTGTTCAATTTCTTTTGGGAAAAGGTTTGAATATTCAGATCCTGATTTTGTGGAGATTTTAAATATATTCGAATCAAATATGAAACTTTCCGGAGGCACAGCTATTGTGAATTACTTTCCCTTCCTGGAAAAAATGCCAGGAGATCCATTTAAATGTGAGCAGTGCTTAGAAAATGTCGCCACAATACAAACCAAATTGTCAACATGGGTGGCGCATCACAAAAAGACGCTGGATCCTGACAAACCTAGGGACTTCATTGATTACTATTTGCTGGAAATGCAGAAAAAGCTGGAATCCAAGGAGAAGACAACTCTGAACGGTGAGTTCTTAAATTTTTCTGTAAAAATGAACTCCGCCCCCGCGTATCATAGTTATTGCAAAGATAATATAATGTTCTTAATGTTGCGGACATTAGTATTTGTTGCTTTCAGGCTCCAATCTTTGGAATAGAAGTGGTTGGAGAAATAACTGTTTCTGGATTGAAATAATTAACGCTAGTGATTGCAAACTGTCTACTAGCTTGACAATCAATAACTTTGTCAGTCAAGCCGCTTTCGCCTCGGCAGTAAAGTCTGCCTGCAACGGATCTCCAACATAGTCTCTCTTCTCCTTGTTATACACTCTTTGATAGTGATGTTTGTCAATCTCTTGGGATAATTCTGTCATTTGTATCTGTTTACTTCTTGCTCCGCTGCCATAAACGTTTCCTTCCAGTCTGGCATAAAAACACACACAGAATCATGTTTTACTGTAGGTAAATGACTTTTTTTTCTACGTTTGCAGGCGTATTGGGCACATAGGGCTAACCCTATATTTTATAGACCGATCGGCACTTAGTAAATTATATAGCTAACATCACGCCTGCCGCCTTTACTTCCCGTAATTTTACTTGGTACACACTCAAGACTGGATCGACCTGAAAGCCAAGGTCATTTGGTTAAAAAAATCCGACCCAGTAGAAGCCGAACCCACGACTTTCTGATCTGCAGGCGAGTATCTAGTCGCTACGTCATGGCGGCTCCCTAATATTTTAATGAGCACGTAATGTTTCAACAACTCTTTTTTTTCCCTCCCTGGTCTCCCCACTAATTCAGTAGGTAATTGTTTTTGTTTCAATCATAAATCATCTTTTCTTCTATATACGCATATCTGCACAGAATCAGTTCGATTTTCTAATTTGTGTGTGCTCATTATCCGAGTTCTGCACCATATTGAGAAACGAGTTTGCTAGTAGTGTCTGGTATACACAGAAGCCGTCATCATCAATCTCTATTTTTGCCTCTAAGCGTCGTGGGATGGACCAGTTTGCGATCGATTGCTTGATTGGTAGCAACGGCCTTTGTTATCTTGTGTCAGTGTAGAAGCTCTTTAATTGTATCCATCCATGTTTTGCTAGGGTGGTCTCTTGGGTTCACTTCAAATCTTGTCATGTGTAGCGCCTGTGCTGTTAGTTTTTCTGACTGTATACTTACTAGATGATAAAACAATTTAATCCTATGTTTCTCAATGAATTTGCTGCATTGTGTTGTTCCCCAGTCTGTCTAATGGCATCATTTCTAACTTTATCTCGGATGGTAAGTTTAGCGGCTTTTCTCATGTTAATCATTTCACAAATGTTAATTTTACGAAGATTAGTCTTTGTTAATATCCAAGTGGGGTAGAACAGTGTTGGTATGAATATGCTGTTTTTTATAATCTGTTTCTTGGCGATCATACTTTTTTTGTGTGGACGTCTAAATAATGGTGTGACTTGGTATGTAAGTGCACAGGCTCACTGGCATCTTGGTTCTATTTCCCGATCTATTATCCAGTACTCCGAGAATATACTTCCAATATATTTAAATTCTTTAGCTTGCTCCGGACAAGTACAATTCAACCCACTATGTAGCAGACTATGAAATTTGCTGACCTGCATGCTTCAGCTTTAGAAGTATCCATTTTTATGTTATATCTTCATTCATAGAAGTAGAAAGGGAAAACATATCTGCATTCATAGAAGTAGAAAGGGAAAACATATCTGCATTTATAGAAGTAGAAAGGGAAAACATATCTGCATTCATAGAAGTAGAAAGGGAAAACATATATGCATTTATAAAAGTAGAAAGGGAAAACATATCTGCATTTACAGAAGTAGAAAGGGAAAACATATCTGCATTTATAGAGGTAGAAAGGGAAAACATATCTGCATTTATAGAAGTAGAAAGGGAAAACATATCTGCATTTATAGAAGTAGAAAGGAAAAACATATCTGCATTTATAGAAGTAGAAAGGGAAAACAAAGTACACGTGAGAGAAAATGTGAAAATAGAAAATAAAGTAACTACGCTGGGATTCAAACCTACAACCTCTGAATGACCAAAACATTATTCTGAATGAACACCTTTAGTTTGTCACATATGAACAGACATAAGGTAATATAATGGGATCGTTTGATACCTCAAGGAGCATCGATCTTATGATAAAATCCCAATATTTGCGTAGGCCAATCAACACTCAGTGGGTTATATGGTTAACATCACACCTGCCACCTTCAACATCTAAGACATGTCTTATTCTTTGCTGGATCGACCAGAGAATCCAGGTGTAGTAAGACAGTTTTCCTCAATTTAATGGACGACCACCGGCCAGTGAAAGAAGTAAAAATGTGGCTTTATTTGCCCTCTCTACCGTCTGCTTGCGGCGTCCGTGGCTAAGGCGTTGCGAGTCCGACTCGTAAGCCAGCATACCGCGATCGAAACCCACTGCAGGCTGCGTGAATTTTTGTCGTGGTATGGGGACGTCGCAGGTCGACCCTAAAATGGGTACCAGGATGGGCTGTCCTGGAAAAGTAAAGACAGCCGGCGTAATGCTGACCACATTACCCACAGAGTGCTGATGGTCTGTAAAAATATGGGACGCTCTGCCCATATGCCCGATGCGCCCAAAGGCGTGAAAAGGGATCTTTACCTTACTTTACTTTACCGTCTGCTTAAACATACAACTACAGACGATTAATAGTGTTCATCCCTGGCACGCTTCCGTCTTTAAAGGATTTAGTGTTTCATTGTGCTTTATTGTGGTAGGAGTCACAGCCCATGGCGACAGTCAGTGAGGCTAGCTAAACCAGTTCTTGTTAAGAAGAATATTCCACAAAGTGTCATACGATTTTAGGGCCACTGCTGCCTTTGCATGTAACTGGCATGCTTCTTCTCAAACGCCCAGGTCGATGATCTTCAGGACCTAATTAACGTAAGAACCCCTTTTGTGCTTGCTCGATGACCGCACGAGAATACGGGCCTCCTGCAAATCTGTGTATATGCTTGATATTATTTACAATTACCATTTCTTTTTCCGAGAGTGGTTGTCTTAGGGGCCCCAGTACACTGGTTTTCCTAGGGGCCTAAAAGCTGTTCAGATGACTCTGATGATGTTCCATTTTTTATAATTCTTATTCCCTTCCTTAAGTGTATCCCCTCATGAAACGCTGTCCATGGCACCATGATCCCACGAATCCACTACAAAACCCTTATCATTCAAGTCCCTCTTGCACACATCTTTAAATCGTAGCAGAGACCAAGCTTGGCATCATCTACCCATAAATAATTCACTATAGATAGTATCTTTAAGAGCTCTACCATCATCCATCTTCCAAGTATGTCCTGACTATTTAACCTATTTCTTTTCCTTGTTCCAGCCACTCATTGAATCAACACATAATGTGGTAGATCAACACTTATTGTCTGGGGCCTGTCCAGCTTGATGGGCACAGAGTTGTTAATCAGTTTTAACATAGCACCATGGGTTAAAGCAATTTATTTAAATCCATTATAGATTTTGAAAACAACAACAATTATTTGTTTCACGTAACATAAAAATGTTTGGGAAGTCGTTGGAGTAAAGGACTCTTGTCCACTCCTTCAGACATACTGGTGTGTATGACTAGACCTATATTTCATAGACCAGTCGGCACTAAAGAGGTGATGTGGTCAACATCATGCCGCCCGCCTTTACTTCTCAGTACTGTCCCTGGTACCCATTTAAGGCTAGGTCGTCCTAGGAACCAAGGTAAAAAGTAAAAAGTAAAAAAAAAAAAAAAAAGTAAAGGACCCTTGTCCACGTCTTTAGGCGTATAGGGCATATAGGGCTAGACATATATTTTTATAGAGCAATCGGCACAAGATGATTGTTGTGGTCAGCATCACGCCGGCCGCCTCTACTTCCTGGGACTGCACCTGGTACCCACTAAAGGCTGGTTCGACCTTGGAGCCAAGGTCATTTTTGAAAAAGGTGTGGCTCCTCCAGGGAGCGAACCAACAACCTTCCGATCCATGGCGATCGTCTAGCCCTGAACCAAGGTAATTATTGGGGGAAAACAAGTCTGGCTCCGCCAGGAGCTGAACCTACGACCTTCGGATCTGCAGGCAAGCTCCTAGCCGCTACACTAGCGATTCTTGTCACACCAATGGCATATCGGGCATGTGTCACTAAGTCTCAGATTGTTTCAAACCAACGATAACTCACCGAGTGTTGTGGTCAACATCACACCGGCCGCCTTTACCTCTCAGGAGATTCTCTGCTACTCATTGTTGGTTGAGTCCAGCTGGGGACCAAGTTCTATTTACAGTAATGTCAGACTCAATGTGGGTTCACAGCAAAGACCTTTAAGTTGACATTTGGGCGTCTTGTTGCTAAACGCGATCTCCTCCTCACCTCCCTCACTTTCTTTATTCATCATCATCATCATAAACCACTTCTACCATAAGCGCCGTTAGAAGGAATAATTTTACGATCTAGTACACGCTGTCTGTCACTGACTATTGTCATGCCGTAAAGGCGTAGAGTCTCTGTAATGTTGTCGATCCATGTTTTCGGGCCCGTCCTCTTGCTCTTGCAGCTGATATTCTGAGATGTAGTGCCTCTTATGGTATTTGATCTTGCTGCATTCTAACGACAATTACTTTATTAACGATTTTAACACTGTTTTCCATTTTAATATTTCAGAGTCGGAACTGCTAAAATTCATAGGCGATCTCTTTGTCGGAGGGACAGAGACAACCGCCACATCTCTTCGATGGGCGCTTATATTTCTAGTCCGCCATCCGGATGTTCAGCAGAAGGTGCACCAAGAAATTATTGCAACCCTGGGCGAAAGGACACAACTGTCTGTCCTGGATGAGAAAAACATGCCTTTCACAACTGCTGTAATAATGGAGTCTCAAAGACTAGGGGACATTGCTCCATTTTCACTGCTGCATTCCAACTTTGACGAGGTACGGCTAAGGGAGTATGTCATCCCCGCCGGAAGTGTTGTGATTCCCTGCGTCAACTCCGCACATATGGACCCGCACATCTGGGACAACCCCGGCAGAATTCAGACCCAGTCGTTTTCTTGACGAGGCTGGGAAAGTTGTCAAAAGAAAGGAACTGATGCCTTTTTTCATTGGTAAGTTTAATACGGTATATATTCACTTTCTTTCTTTCTTTCTTTCTTTCTTTCTTTCTTTCTTTCTTTCTTTCTTTCTTTCTTTCTTTCTTTCTTTCTTTATTTCTTTCTTTCTTTCTTTCTGCTCTTTCTTTCTTTCTTTCTTCTTTTCGCTTTTTTCTTTTTCTTTCTTTTCTTTCTTTTCTTTCTTTCTTTCTTTCTTTCTTTCTTTCTTTCTTTTCTTTTTCTTTCTTTTCTTTCATTTCTTTCTTTCTTTCTTTCTTTCTTTCTTTCTTTCTTTTCTTTCTTTCTTTCTTTCTTTCTTTCTTTCTTTTCTTTCTTTCTTTCTTCTTTTCTTTCTTTCTTTCTTTCTCTTTCTTTCTTTCTTTTTCTTTCTTTCTTTCTTTTCTTTCTTTTCTTTTTTTTCTTTCTTTCTTTTCTTTCTTTTTCTTTCTTTTTTTCTTTCTTTTCTTTTTCTTTCTTTCTTTCTTTTCTTTCTTTCTTTCTTTCTTTCTCTTGCTTTCTTTCTTTCTTTCTTTTCTTCTTTTCTTTTCTTTTCTTTCTTTCTTTTTTCTATAGAATAGAAATAGAATAGGAGATTATGAGCATGAGGTTTTTAGGACACATGGCTAGCTCTGTCGCCATGAACACAAGTAATGATGTTTAGTTTTTCCAACGACAGAACAGTAAATATCCGTCAACATCAAAGGAATTGATGCAAAGCAGAATGGCCACTCTCAGCTATATTGACGAAGAATACCTATAAGAACAATCGGTCTGAGTTATACAGATGGGTCTTTCTTTCTTTCTTCTTTTTTCTTTCTTTCTTTTCTTTCTTTCTTTCTTTCTTTCTTTCTTTCTTTCTTTCTTTCTTTTTCTTCTTTCTTTCTTTCTTTCTTTTCTATTTCTTTCTTGCTTTCTTTCTTTCTTTATTTCTTTCTTGCTTCTTTATTTCTTTATTTCTTTCTTGCTTTCTTTCTTTTTTTTCTTATTTCTTTCTTTTCTTTCTTTTCCTTTCTTTCTCTTCTTTCTTTCTTTCTTTTTTTCTTTCTCTTTCTTTTTTCTTTCTTTCCTTTCTTTCTTTCTTCTTTCTTTCTTTTCATTTCTTCTTTTCTTTCTTTTCTTTCCTTTCTCTTTCTTTCTTTTTTCTTTTCTTTCTTTCTTTCTTTCTTTCTTTCTTTCTTTTCTCTTTCTTTCTTCTTTCTTTCTTTGCTTTCTTGCTTTCTTGCTTTCTTGCTTTTCTTCTTGCTTTCTTTCTTTCTTGCTTTCTTGCTTGCTTTCTTTCTTTCTTTCTTTCTTTCTTTCTTTCTTTCTTTCTTTCTTTCTTTCTTTATTTCTTTATTTCTATAGAATAGAAATAGAATAGGGGATTATGAGCATGAGGTTTTTAGGACACATGGCTAGCTCTGTCGCCATGAACACAAGTAATGATGTTTAGTTTTTCCAACGACAGAACAGTAAATATCCGTCAACATCAAAGGAATTGATGCAAAGCAGAATGGCCACCCTCAGCTATATTGACGAAGAATACCTATAAGAACAATCGGTCTGAGTTATACAGATGGGTCTGCACAAAATACAGTTAGAAATGGTGGTGCAGGAGTGTACATGGAATTCCCAGATGGTACTAGGAATAAGTCCAGTATACCAGTCGGAAAGTACTGCCATAACTATGATGCAGAAACTCAGGCTATGAAGATAGCTACATAAAAACTGCCAAATACTAATCGTGGCTGAGAGTCTGTGGTAATGCTGACAGATGCTAAATCCGTACTTGAAGTACTACAGTCTCGGAAACTTTTAGAATTGCATATACAGTTGACACAGCTCAAGCCTTCAGCAAAGAGTCGCAATGCAGTGGATGCACATCTTATTGGGGAGTGCCCGGAAATGAGAAAGCTGATCAACAGGCTTGGTAAAGTGCAGCCGCATGTACCAGTCACATAAAAACCAAAAGAAAAAGATTATTAAATCGATCAGGAAACCACCAGCCCCAACAAAAGACGACTATTTTATTATAAACAAATCATGACAAATCATTACCCTCCGCCCCAGAATAGGGCACAACCAGTTACATAACCACATGTACACAAAATTCAAGACAGGCAAATCAGCCATATGCACCTGTGGAAAAGTTCCCCAGACAGCAGAACATGTTGTCCAGGACTGCACCGAATTTGACACATTAAGGCAAACCTTTTGGCCAGAAAGAACAACAGCGGAACCTAAACTCTATGGACCACTGAACGAACTAAAAACAACAGTGACATCTATAGAAGATAATAATGCTGATAGAGACAATTTATTTTCAGACGAACGAAAGAATAAGAGGAAGAAGCTAAACATCTTCCGTAACATTTAAATTTAAAGATTCATTTTGCGTCTTTCGAGCATATTTTATTTTTATTTCACTTGAAATAGTTATTGCCTGCAAGCACCTTCTTTATTGCAACTTATAACGTCAGCATAGTTAGAACATTCATGAAGGTATTATTCATTAGCTGGGGTGCCGGATTCAATCCCAGCTGCGGGCCATGCGCCTTGCGTTGGTTTCGACAGTGGTATCAAGAAGCCGACCGTCCAGTTAACAATGGCAAACTACTGGACGTAAATTTGCCTAGAGAAACCACACAACAGCCAGGGGTTGCTGGGGTTGGTTCTTCAACGTCCTGTAAAGGATACGCAACTAAACTATTATTCAATAATCTTTGACTGTAAATTACACCATAAAGGGGGAAGTAAAGTAAAGTAAAGATCCCTTTTCACGCCTTTCGGCGCATCGGGCATATGGGGGAACCAACTATAAACACCCTACGTTTCTCAAGAGTTAAAATTACTGGACTGACAATCTTCATTACCTGAGCAAAGAAGCAAAGAAATAATCATAGATATTTAGCTGGGAGGATATCTTAGCTCAGTGTTAATTCCCCTTTGGTCGTCCGTGGTATTTGCAGAAGGTTGCAGTGTAGTTGCTTTTCCTCCCTAATAATCGCTGAAAGAAAGAAGGGGATTCTACATACCTTTTACGGGATTTTATATCTCCCTAAGCTTCCCTCCTTCCCCCTTGTTTTTTCTTTACATCTGAAGACAATTGCTGCGTTCTTATACCAGTAACCAGTACATTTTCTTAGCCTCGGCTGGTACCTGGTCTAGCAGAGAAGCTCCGGCAAGCGGACAGAGCACTGCACTTTCAGTCCCCAAGCTCATGCAGCATGCTTTGTTCCAAACGCATTGGTGTTACCTTCTCTTTTGGTGTAAACAAAGTAGGCTGACATAGGGATAATGCATGTAGATTGTTTGAGAATGGTTTTCGTATGTGCAGCAATGCGTGGTGGTTTTTGCGATAGCCTATCTATCCCTCTTACAATGACAAATCCACAACTAACCGAGACTAATGCTGATGACTCCCTAAGAGTGAAACGTCTATGAAAAGCATGCAGTATGATATTGTGAGAGGTTGCTGTTACTTAGGCAACAGTAAGCATGCCGGTTGTTTGCTTTGAATCGGTGTATAGTTTTTCATATACGACAAATAAGTTTTTTTAAAAAAAAGTAAAGGACATATAGGGTTAGACCTATATTTTATAGACCAATCGTCACAAGATGGCTGATGTAGTCAACATCACGCCGCGATAAATAAGGCAAAATGAAAACTAGGCGTTTGTTTACATTAAACAACAATACCTTGCAAGCACAGATTTTTGAACAGGTTACAAGCCAATTGTCAACAACTCACCCCGAAGGGTTACTGAATTATAGGTTTGTAAAGTTGAGCACAAATTCTATAACAGACTATGGTTTTTTTTTTTTCGAATGGGACAGGGGATGATATTTTGTTATTACAGAAGTAACTCTGCGGAGCAGTTATGGTGTTGGTGTAACCCCATTCGCTGTGAAGCTGCAACCTCCAAAAAGGACTAAAAAGAAAAGTAAATTTGTGTTTATTGTTGAAGTTCTTTATTTCAGAATATATCGACATCAACTGTCATGTTCCATGTCATAGCAATATCTCTGCTCTTTTTCCCCCTCACAGGTCCCCGAACGTGCCCTGGTCGAGGTTTGGGGAAGATGGAAGTGTTTCTGTTACTGACCTCAATTGTACAACACTTCGAGATGTGTCCCGCCACGTCGGGACAACTTCCCAGTCAGGACGGATACGTTGGTATCACCCACGTCCCATACCCACACAAAATTCGGTTTATGAAGAGAAATGGTCCCCGAGACACATCACATAACGACTAAGGACGTTATGTATATATCATTTATGACTATCATAGACGGACGACGATTTCCACATAACTCTTAACTCTTTAAATCCCAAGAAATTGTTGCTGAGCTTTTTATGTTCCAGCCAGGGTTACATTAAATGAAAAAGAATGTATGTCCTGACAATGTTACGTACTTAACTAATCGATGACGGATCAGAGAAATCCGGCACACTGAACTAGACTCGTCTGTAACAGTGACTTAATTGATAAACTATACCAAGGTACAGTGCGTTCACAAATTGAAGTTAACTATTTTGATAGATGCTGTGTGGTTGTGAGTCTTGGACTCTTACTCACTCACTGAGGAAAAAAGATTGGAGCTTTTGAATTACAAATTTATATGTAAAATTCTTAGAATACCATGGATCAGGAACAGGAAAAACGTCGACATTCTGAACAAGTTGAACATCAAGGAGAACTCGCTTATAAACAACATCCTGTCCCGGAAGTTGAAGTATTTTGGGCACATCAAGCGTTATGGCGGCTAAGAAAAGACGGTGATGGAGGGTACAGTCTGTGGAAGACGAGGCAGGGGTCGACCACCGCGATGATGGAAACAAGACATTGAAGACGCATTGGCATTGAAAGCACATGGGGCATCGGAGAAGATGCCAGGGAAAGGGATACTTTCAGGCGTGCCATGAAGAGAGACGTTCTGTAAAGGACTTGCTGATTGATAAAATAAACTGTTGATTGTACATGCATGACATGTAAAAGAATGAGCTATATCGTATTTGGATTTGATATTAATGTAATAATACTGTAATGATGGAGTTAAATGAATATTTCTAGCATTGTCTTGCCTTCTCCTTCCACTGTGGAAGCAGCATAGGAAACGTTTTGCTTCATTCGCAGGGTTAAACTATGTCGACAGATAGCTGTGGAGAGCTACAGTTTATATTCTGTCCATTCTTTTGTGTATTTTACTGATTGTCATACTATGTGTATTAGTAAATGAGCATAACATACTTCAAAAAATACAACACACTTGCTATCTTAAAGATGAGTGTTTGGAAGGACCAGATGTAATAAGCAGAGCCTATGTGCCAAATTTGAGACTTGTTGAAAATGTGTGATCCGTTGTTGACTCTAGTCGCTGATGTATTGTGGCGGCCATTGTGCCCAAGTGTTTATGTTGTCGTTCCATCTACTCCTCAGCTTCCTCGTGCTTTATAGTTTAGCAGGTTCCATTATTATGTGTCAAACTTTATTATTCTCACTTTTTTTTTAGAGAAAGTGTTTACAATTCTCTAATAGCGCCGCATTTAGTCCTGTCTTTTCAGAAAACAGTGATGGTTTTTCTTAGGCAACTGATCTCAGAGCATTTAAGCACTAATAGAAATAATGTTTTTGTCAGGTGACAATTTATTTCTGTCTCGCAGCCAAGACGCGTGAAAAATCAGTTGCACAAAAGATCGTATTAAAGACAGTTAATGTAGCAGCTGTCTAGAAAAGAGGGACTCCCCACCCCCCTCTTCCCCCTTAAAAAAAATCAAATAAAACAAAATAAAATAAAAAAAAAGCATCTCATGCTTCAAATAACCAGTTAACACATGGTGACTGGGTTTGCTGGAGGATGATTTAAACCTGTTACAGCAGGTGATGGAGAAACTGAGGCTCCCTTGAAGATATGTCTGCGATCCTCCTCCTTATCGCCCTCTTTATCATCGTCACCATGATGTGTCACTATACGTCACATAACACTCACAATTTATTTGTCCATTCCTTTCCATCTAGGGCATGTTTTGAATATCATGGATGGGATCCAGGCTAGTAGTTTTGTTCTCTCTTCGCAACCTTCATCTTTTGGTTTTCGGAAAAGGGAGAGGGGGTGTCATCATTTCCTTAGTGTGTTTCCAATTTAAGTGCCTGTTTGGTGATTCTCCGTTAGCATCTCCTTGTAAAGTGCCAAACATATGACTGTTATAATGTTAATATGTCTTGGTACAAACTACCAGTCATACCAGATAATGAATATGTGTGTGTATATAAAATGGCTCAGACTAGAGACATGAAAGAGACGAAACATTTGCCCAATGGTGACTTCCTGTTATCTAAAAAACATGAACGCGAAGAAAAAACGACACGAATGTTTGAGAGCAGTCTGGAAGTACAAGAGGAAAGGAAGAGGCTTTTTAAGCCGTGATAGTATAAGATAGGGCAGTCTTGGTTTCCTTGCTTAGCATGCTTTTGGCCAAACTGCACAAAGTTCACTTTTGCCACTATTTGACACTCAATTTGTTCACGCATATATTATTCTCAGTACCACCCATTCAGAATAGTTTATTATAATGAGATACAAAGTAGAAAAAGACCACTAGCACTACTGTATATCAAGCGTTAAATGATCTTTGAAAATGAGACTAACGCCATATACTCAGTTTAGCCTTAAAGGTGCGGAAAGGGGGAGGGAGGATAAATAGAACTGTTGCCTTCCTAACATGCACTGGGGAGTCTCCTTCGCAGTCGAAATGCATCTACCCGAGAGGCTAAGAAGTAATAGTTTGTATACAAATAAGTCACATCTATGAAACAGATGTGCACGCAAAACTCAAATTCTAGAATAAGCCCAAAGACCAGAAATGCACTGTACGAACAACCTGAACCTTCGTCCGGAGTTTACAGCCGGTTACCGCTAAGAGGAAGACTAGGAAAAGAGTGTACATTATAAGAGGTCTGCTAGTTCTAACTGAAGCAGGAATATTAAAGTGGTTAGCTCCCCTGCCGACTGGCTCTATAGTCATGTGTTCGATTACCCCCACCCCCCTTTTTACAATCCCCGAGCAGAGATTTGTAAAAAGTGACCGATCTTCTTGTGTCAGAGCAACAAGTGTTGCAATTTCTTTACTCACCAGCTGACCATGTCTTCCTCCACGAACTCCTACAGCTTCAGAACAGCTGGAGACGGTCATGGTCTTCCCCTACGGGCTATTGTCTGGAAGGTTTGACACGCTTGAAACCCGATGAGCCACAGTCTGAATATCAGTCGTGCAGGAAAAATCCTGGATATCTTGTTGAACTTCCTAACAAGTTATAAGAAACCCAACAGGTTAACCCAAGACACTCGTACTGGCAGTACAGCTAATAGCCACTGCTCTATTGATGTGTGCCCGCTTTATTACTATATTATCTTGTCCATCCTAGTGGCACATCCGGCATATGATTTTAGCCAAATTTTGTATAGATCAATCATTACTATTTGGTTGACATAGAAATGCACGCCAACCACTTTTACTCCCCATGACATCTTTTCTGCTATCCATTTAGGTTGGGTGCATGGGAGGGAAAGCCTTTATTTAAAAACAGTTCCGTCTGTTTCAGATTCGAACCGAAACCACCAGGCCGAAGGTTAATCTACTGTGGCTTTCCCATTTTTCTCTACTGATTTTGCAAATATTAATAATATCGTGCAGACGGAAGTATAAAACGAACGACAACCGCCTATTTTGTTTTAAATTTTTATTTAGCATATTGTGTCCCTTTATACAACGTTACTTTTTTGGTTTCGAAAACTGATGTTGTGATTATATTGTTCGTCACTGTATTCTATTTATTGTGTTTTCGCTTTGCGATATTATTTATTTTAAGTGTGTGATATACGCGGACAATTAAATATAAGACTATATATTGAATTTGTTCTTATATATGATTGACTTTTAAATGAAATAACGCTTCATGGACAATCATACTTGTAAACTGAAATTCATCATTATAATAATAATAATCATCATCATCATAGCCAATTCCCACTTATGCCGTTAAACGTCATGCCAAGAACAAACTGTGATTCATTGCCCGATGGGTAGCTCTCGAAACTATCACTCCATGTCGATGTAGAATGTGTTTTATGTCGTCAGTCCATATTCTCATTGAGCGCTCTCTTGCTTTCTTATTAATGCAGTCTTCCCCATGTGGGGTGCAATGTTTCGTTATTTGAAGCCCCATCCTGGATCTTGCCAGGGGCCGCATTATATAGCCCCGCCTTAAATATGGTCTAATGGCTGAACGCGGTTTCCAGGTCCTCTCCAGGGGTGATCCTCATCCACGTGGTAAAACTTTGTGTCATCGGGTGTTTATCGCTTGTGTGATGTCCTAGTGGGGTAAAATGTACTACTACTACTACTAATTCTTGCTTTCTGACCCGATCTTCGCATGTGTTAGCTGCTGTTGTAGTTGCATTCAACAAACACGACTGAACTTTTTTATCTTCTGCTTCTCAACGAGCTTCAAAGACAGTTTTGTTCCCACAGTCTGCCTGACAGTTTCACTTCTCACGCTGTCTCAGATGGTTAAATTAGGAGCTTTCTTTAGGCATTTCATTTCACGGATGTTACATTAACGTTGGTTAATCTTTTATAATGTCCATATTTGGCACTGGCAGCGCAGTAATGGTGTGAATATGCGGTTTATAATTTGTTTCTTGGCTATAATACTTTTATCTGACTTTCTTAATAATGGCGTCGATTAGTCTATAAGTGAACTGGCTCTTTGGTATACTGTTTCCATTTCCCAGTCTGTTCTGACGTCTTTCTGGAATATGCTTCCTCCTCCTCCTCCTCATCATCATCATGTAGCAGGTCCTTTCTAAAACGTCGCTCTCATCACGGTCTGCCTGAAAGAAACTCGGTCTCTCGCCAGCTCCCACGCCTCATGTACTTTCATACTCAAGGAGCCACTTATCTAGTGCCCATCTTCGCGTTGGTCGGCCCCTGCCCCTCCTTCCTGGTACCATTTTTTCTGCTATATTTTGTTTCCAATTCGTCGTGGCGTTTGACATGACCAAAATATTTCAGCTTCCGAGACAGGATGCTGTTTATTAGCCAATCTTCGTTTATGTTCAGATGTCAGTATTTCCCCTCTTTTTTGTCCAAGATATTATGAGAATCTATCTATAGCATGTCAGCTCAAAAACCCATATCCTCTTTCTTAAGGACTGGGAGCTAGTCCACAACTCACCTCATATGCTTCCTAATT